CGCGGCCGTGTAATGACCGTCTGTGCCGATTTTTCTGGCGACCGTCGGCCGCTGTGGCTCGTCCCCGCTTCTCGTTCCTTTTGCCCCGGCGTCGCGTCGACTCCGCTGTCGATGCCCTCACCCCTAAAACCATTTACCTTGTCGTAATCTATGCGTGCCCTTGCCGACGCGACTCGCAGGACTGGTTTTGCATGATGTGGCACCCGCAGACTAGTTCCATCGCGAAACTATCGCGCCTCCGACGCTGATAAACCCAAGGGAACGAGTCTGCGTCGAATAGAAATTTTTTAAAATTGCGCAATTGTAGACGCCGTGGAACAAGGAACGATTACAGAATTTGGCATTTGGGTGTGCCCAAGTTTGAGGCTCTCGGGGTAGAGAAGCCACAAAGTTTCGTTGAAGTTTGCGATAGTTGTTTTACGGCGAGAAACCGAGGATCGCGAGAAGAAGGAGCGCGCAGAAGGAGGACGAGGACGCGAACCGTCGTCGTCGTCGGTATCCAGGATTCCCCGTCGTGGAACGTTAGCCTCCTACGAAATCCGACCTTTCACTTCCACGTGTCGAGCATCTTCTCGCGGGGAGGAGGACGCGGGGGCGGGGACGAGGCGCGCGTGCACCGTTGGAAATAAGAGAACCGCGATGGATCTCGCTACCGGATTCGCGTCACGTGCGAGACGAACGCTCGAAAATTCCATTTTCCACGTACCGCGAGGATGGTATCGATATACCCGGAGTACCAAACACGCACACACCGTCTTCTACCAGCCGATTCCAGGGGGCTTCGAGAAGTCTCGCGCAACTTCTTCTCCCCGGCAGAGTCAAGGGAGCCCTGGAGTCGGGACGAGTCCACCTCGTAAAATTGGATTTTTACGCTTCGAATGGATTCGACGACTTCATTCTCATCCAGAATTTTTCCCTGTAGCCCCGTGAAACGGGGGCCTCAACTGATTGGCTTTAGAGAATTAAAAGTCACTTCTAACCCCATACAAGCTCTTAGAGAATAAACTTTAGGACAGTTGGTAAATAGGATATAGAATTCTACGATAGAGGGTCTAATGATAATTATATAATAATATGTAGAAATCGAAGAAAAAACTTGGGCACGGGCTGGGGGGGTCTCGAACTCGCGATCTTCAAATTACTGGTCCAGACATCTTACTCGCTGAGCCAACGCTGCACCGTTCCTTTTGTAACATTAATAATCCCTTTTGTCATACAACTATGAAGGATCTTGGATCTCACAAATATATTTCTATACAAGGGGTGAACGTTTAAATTCGGTTTGAGAGGTGAGAACCTTTCCCTTATCACCTCAATTTAAAATTTCTACAATGAGGGCGCAGAAACAAGCTAATCGCGTAACTAAAGAAAGATCCATACTTTCTCGCTGTTTTTTGCGATAGTTATCGCTAGACACCGAGAAGCTTTCAAGTTTTTCGATCGCGAGAGTAAAATAAAATGGGTGGGTGGTGTTCGCGGAGCGATATCGATTACGAGCAATAGCCTTTTGCTTTCTCCCGGACAAGGTTGCCCGTGGAATATACGTAGGAAAAGTCTTTCGACGTCCGTGTTCGCGGCGAGTCGCTCCGACGTCCGTGGAACGCCGGGGACCTTTTTATCCAGCGAAAGGAAGAGTGAACGCGCGCCTCCTCTGTGTACCCACCGAACGAGTTGCTCTATCCGTTGACATTTCTGGACGCCGAGTCACTTTCGTTGCACGAAAGTGGCGTAATAAAGCGTCTCCTTTGGAACGACATCCGAGGCGGTGCAACGAACCTCGACCGTACTTGAATATTTACGCGGATCTGCGCTCGAAATTGCACGATCGGAGCCACCGACTCGAGATTCCGCGGCGAATCGCCATTGTCTTCTTCTCGGAGCAACTTTGATTCCACTCGAAAGAAACAATTTCATTTTTTCGACGAACTTTGATGTATTATACACCTTCCACGTTTAGTAAATCGCGATTAGAAAATTTGTTATTTATTAACGGGAATAAACCCTTTGATAGAAAGGATGTAATATGTAAGGAATTACAAATGTGGATTTTACATAATCGATCGCTAATAAAATTTTAACAAAATAAATTAATTTACAATACGTTGCGAGGATAATTTTAGACTTTCTAATGATTGTTCGTATCTTATTGAATAAAGTAAAGTTTAAATTTGAATAACTCGAGTATCGGTTCGTCGTAAGTGTACCGTGGATATAAAATAATTAGGACGTTGTATAATATTCCCCGATAAAATGGCGTCGTCGTTACTTAATTTCCCCGAGAGGCTACGGCACTTCGAAAACTTGGAATTCGCCCGGAGTTCCGGGTTCCGTCGGTTCGTCGAAGTCTGTAGGACGACCAACCTTACGCCCTTCTGTGTTCCACCCTCCGAGGCCCCCCCGTTTGCTCGCGACGCGGACCATTGTTGTTCTAGATTGCATTGCAAATTAGATCACGGACAGCCGTCACCCTTCCACCCCTCCCCGTCCCCGGCTGTTCAAGTTGCAATATCGTTGCCCGGGTATTTCTCGGTTCGAGCTGCTCGTCGTAAACCACCTTCCACCCCTTTCTGCTCGTGTTTCCGCCGCTGTGCCGCTCCACCGTCGACGGGCTTCTTGCGAAACCGCGTCGCAAAGCGTTGTACGCGGCTTAAGCTCCACCCGGGGGAAAAAAGTAAATTGTTTTTCGCTGAAAGTGAATTACCGCGGCACGTCGTTCCCGCCCACGCCTCTGCACCGGATAATTGTCGGACTGCTTGTCTTCCGGGGAGGGTTTCGAAAGAATTTTAAGGTGCCGGAGTTCCTTTTTGGGATCAACCCTCCATCGTCAAACTTTTCGACCATACTCGCGTGCAAAACCATCGACAATATTAGGTTAATGCACAGAAAACACCGAGAAATTACGCTTCTAAAACTCATTCGTTTACGAAGACGTAAAACATTTATTTCTAAACAGGAAAATTAATCTTTATGGAATCGAGTCTTTGCAATCTTTGGTATTCTTTTTCTATTTTAGTTGGCGAGGTTTTAGTGTTGTTACGAAGGAGAATTCTTCCCATTTGTGGAATTCTACGAATACTTTTAATGTCACTGTGCTGTTGAGTTGTCACATTTTTGTAATTAGGCCTTCGAAAAGGTGAACACGAGTCAAGACTCAATCTAGACACCTGTGTAACATAAAAATATATTTATAATCGATAACCCGTGGCTTTTATTTATTTTATTCCTTCCCCAGATCACCGTGAGCCATCCTCTGCATAAATATGATATAACCGAATTCTTTTTCGAAGATGGAAGTTTTATTTGCGCCCCGAGGGTCAAAAAAAGAAAAAAGCTGATAATTTCGCTTTATCAAACCCGTCCTCGACGGTTGAATCGTTTAAGGAAACGACAGGATTCGCGTGCAGAAGAGAATCCATCGACTAATTTCTATTTACGCGACGGGTCCGCGCGTAAGCGACCGGGGAACAGATCGATACCGTCTGCGACGCTATCCTCGGCGGCGAACAATACGTCCCGGTGTTCCGGAAGTCCGACGTCAGGGCCATAAGCACGTCGTAGCGCGAGACAAATCGAATCAGGGACATTCCCACTCCTCTATCCGTACGTCTTTCCGTTTCTCTCGGTTCCCGTGTCTGGCGACGGTGATGTTATCAGGTCTTGTCGCGTCCGCTGGAAATAAATCTTTTGTGGAAGCGACGGAGAAGGATCTCCGCGTCTCCTCCTCCCCGCCGGAGGATCCCGGAGGCGGGAAAAACCGAGGAAAAACTCCACGGAAGTTATAAACTGTACCCACCGAACGAAACTGAACATTTCCTTTGGATCGCTGCTCATTACTGGAATATTATTTTATCATCCGCTCAGACAGTGCTCTTACCATTGGAGCTCTCGTTAGAATATTTAAAAATTATTATTCAATAATTCGAAACGAATCATTTTGAGAAAACTCATTTCCTTTATGAATCGTAATTTCTCGAGGCCAAGGAGTTCCAAAAATTTTGGAGACCCTTCTGGAGGACGTGGTCGAAGCAAAGTAACGGAATGGCGGATGTGAGCGTTACGAGGCGAGTAGAGGGAGCTGGAAAATCGGAAAACGACTGGGGAAAGCTGCGCGAGATAGAGGGAGGAGGGGCGGAGGAAGAAGAGGAAGGAATGTGGGCGCGAGACCGCGGTCTGGTTTCCCCGGACGGGGACGGGGAGGAAAACATGTGGGTTAGATAGACGCAGCTGCGCTACCATCCGAGATTAGATATCAGAGGCTTTTTTTCCAGACAGCCTTCGACGTTCCGCGAATCGCGTAATAATCTCGTCGAAGGTCGACGACGCGGCTACCTCCGTCGGATGGAAAATCGCGTTTCCGTTTCCCTCCCCCTCGTCTCGTACCCGTGTCTTTAGCGTTCGATCGAACAACGAGACGATCGTTGCACCGCTGCACGGGAATCACGGAGCTGCGTTTGGTATGCGACGGAATGCACCGAGAGGGAACGCGGAAAACGCCGCTGCCGGATTCCTCGGGTTAGCACCAAAGCTGCCAAAGTCAGGGCCAGATACAGCCAGGCTTGCACCACGGGGTGGGGGGAACACCGAAATATGCAAAACTATATTTTTAGACACCCTTACGCGAGATTTAGAATTCCCCAATTTATGCGAACAGGGGGTTCAAGATTTCGAGAACCTCGATACGTATTATTTAAATTCAAATTTGTATTTTGTTGTTCAATCTCGTATCGTTCGAGATGAGATGAGATAAAATTTCGATCACGATTGCGTGTTATTTTTGTCAACAGAACTTAACTCGTTCTTCGTTTAAGTAAATAAGATACATCACCGAGCTAGGAAAGCTCTATTTTAACTCTATTTTTATGACAAATTTTCTTTCCATGGCGCGATATTTAAAGTAAGATCGAACAATTATGTACACGGTGGTTCGATGAATTTAATTTTCAAATCCGTCGTGATGTCACGGAATTAATAAGTTATCTATTTTGTAATGGAGGACTCACCGGCGTGCCAGGATGACGATGGTGATCTTGCAGCAGAAGACGTCGTTGATGCGACGCCGGCAGTTCCTCGCGATGATGATGATGATGGTGACGATGATGATGATGCCGATGGTGATGCAAGATCGAGGCGGAGGCCGGCTCGTGCAGTAGCAACCGACGATGATGAAGATGATGGGATACAGTCGCCAGGACACCCACCAGTGCTCCGACTACCAGGACGAGCACCACTGACACTATGTAGCTGCTTGCGCTCACTGCAAACATTATGCAACCATTTTATGACGTTACATTCGCTCGTTCCAACGATTTTATTCGTCGAGCAACAAAAAGCAAACCGTACGTAAACGAATCGAAGAGACAAGGTCCAACAAATAATTATTAATCAAAACGTGTCTACACTGTGTAAATTGTGGGAAATAAATTTTTTAGCCGAACGTATCGTTCTCGCTGGTAACTTGTTTAAAAATAGTATTATTTTTCGTATACAGTCAAGAGAGAAACACAATTTCTGCGCGTTTCGAGTCCTTGCGACGCGCACTGCGAAGCCGTACTCGCGGAACCAACAAACGAATAGGTCGTAATCTATGTTGCAATGATAAGTGATAGGCGATTTTTTTTTTCTTGCGGGAACGTTCCTTCCTATACCGTTTCCTGGGGGATCTAGACGTTGCTCGGTGAAATATCGCTCGAGATAACTGTCGGCTCTAGAAAATGGCATCGCCGTGCAGCGAGAGACCGAGGTGTTCTATAAAGAATTTCACTCCCAGAAATGCAAACGTCGAAATTCCTAATTCCACTCGTTGCAATTCAATTTACCCTGCTCTAAAACTCTCTACAAAATAAAAAATACTATTATATATATAACAGTACTACTATTCTTTGTACGCTCTCTCAAAAAATGTGTCATATTGAGGTTATCAGTAATTTAAATTTGGCGGTGAAACGCAAACCACAACGAAAAATCTGTTCGAACCAGTGATCGGAAAAAATGTAAAAAACGATATTTTTTACTTAGACTCTGTTTTAAATGTTCTTTAGACTCCCGATTTAATAACTTTAGTTGGATAATTCTCTTCACAGAAATTTCGAAGTCGATTCTCGGTCCTGGATTAAAGTGATTTATGGGCGAATTAGGTTCGAAGGGACGCAGCCGCGAACGGGATGAATCGAGGGAATTTCACCGGGAGGAACTCGAACTGCGAATGCCCCGCTCGCGGCGAGACGTTCCCGTGCGCTTTTCACCGCGCGACGATGTACGAAAGTATCGACTAACTTCCCGCTTCCAGTCAATTTCGTACGCGATGCGTGAAAAAGACTCGAGGCGCGAAGTTTCTGGCGCGAGTTTTCCCTCCGCCGGGGATCCCCGGGCCCTTTGCGTCTCCACCTCGATTCAGAAAGTGTACGAGACTGGAAAATTTCTTATAGTCATGCTCGGCGACGCTCGTCCAACGTTTTCGAGCACTCGGAAGGATTGGCTCCACCCGCGTCCTCCTTTAATCGCCCAACGATTCGTTCAGGGTCATAAACATTGAATAAAAATTACTACGGACGAAAAACTTCGCGTTTATTCATTTCCCACCCTTTGATAAATACTCTCTGTGCACGTGCCACGGGTAAAAAGACTGAAATGGCTCGTATGGTGACGACTGTCCATCGGAGTCGGCCATTTTGGGTTTCTAAACGAGTAGCATAGGAGTCGTAGAGAATGGATGGATGATGTTAGAAAAAAAATATTTGGAAGACATGGAAAGTTTCCTAATGTTTATATTATGTCGATTATTGAAGGTGGATCTAAGAGAGTGGTACTGAATCTTGCAAAATTAAATTTGAACAGAACAATTAATGAGCACAGAATGGAGCTCGCGCGTTTCGTGAGGAACAAAATTAAGTATTTTCCGAATCGAAACTCGAAAATTTGTCGACGAAACCTGCTTGGAATTAAGGTTAAAAATTGCTCGACCGGTCGGAGGGAGAGCAAGGTGCATCTTGGAGGTAGAAAGGGACAAAAAGAGGCGAACCGACGGCGTCGTGCGATCGTAACTTGCCGTGTACTCGAAGAGGTGAGCGAAAGAGTGTGTTTGCGCGCTCGGCCGAGGACGCGATTGGTGGGACAGGATGAGACACGACCATAAAACCTTATCAACGTTCATCATCGCCGGTTCAACGGTTTGAACCGCTCGTCACCCGGCGCTCGTTAAACGCTCTACGAGTCGCGACGGTGCACCCTGTGGCCCCGTGGTCACGTCGAGACGCTAACAGCGACCACGACGAAAAAGAACGGACAGGAAAGGGCGAAAAGAGGTCCCTGACCCTCGTCGGGCTGAAACTTCTGCGAAATGGTCGCGCACCGGTCGTCCCGACCGTGGACAAAGGACTCCACCGCGCCGCTGGAAATTCGGTGAACGTCTCTTCGTACAATATCTCGCGTTGCAACGGACCGAACGGCCCTTAAAAGGCTCCACGTTCCCCGATACGGGAATAGAAGCACCTGTAAACCTGGCTTCTTATCGCCGGACTCTCGTTTTTATTTTCGCGCGCGGTCAAGATTATATAAAGTTAATTATTGAACCCGAACGCACGGAAAGTTTTAGCGGCCGGTGGCTTTTATCGCGGTAGTAAAAAGTAGGAGAAAGCGCCAAGAAAGTAGGTAACGTTGCACGTCTTGCAGAACGAAACTCATCGGTTCTAGGAATAAAAGGTTGAATGATAATGGAACCGAGTATCTCGATTCGAAGCGGTTCTCAACTTCCCCCAAACGGTACGAAACTGTAAAGTTCTGTACTCGACAATCCCGATCACCGGAAACGTCCAAGACTATTTTTTTCTCGAGAGAATACGAAATTTATGGCTCACGTTGGAATGGATTAAGATAAGATTACGGTTTTGGCGTCGCGTACACGTGGCATAGCATTGACCCAAAGAAGTCAATCCATTCATTAATTAATGTGACATGTGTATACGTAATACACGACCGTCGACGTCCAGAAATCCGTGGCCTTGTGGGACTAACGCGCGAATTTAGCGTGACAGTCGACGTGTTAACCCTTTATGGTCCTATTACGTCTAGACTGTCTGGACGTGGCGTTTCGTTCCAGCTGGCCCTACGTCGCGACAGTCCGGACAAAGAAATTGACGACAATTTGTTTCCTCCAAAAAAACACCACATAAGCGTCGGAGGAATCTATTTTTCGGAGGAGTCGAAAGTTTGAATCGATTCCGTACACTTTGGCGTTGGAATTTGTTGTTGCGTTCGCGTCTCGGAACGAACACGATATTCCTAGATATTTTTCATCGCGAGATTAAGCTCGGTCATTTTGTGGTCGAAGCCGCACAGTAATAGTAACATAGAAAACAGGAATATTGGTTTCGATTACCTTGCACCTATAAAGCTGCACTTATTATATCGAGAAGACAGGTGACCGAGACTAATAGTTTATTAATAGCGACGTGGCTTCTATTTTCTACAACGGGGCAAAGTTTTAAGGAGAAACGTCAAACGTGAAGCGAAATATTCCCCAGCGAACTGATAAAGGTTCAATTTAAGCTATGCCTTGGTTTTATCGGTTATTCATTAGAGGAATTAAATTTCTTCCATTCTCTAGACTTCGTTTCTTTCGCGGATCTATATCTGTTTTCGAGGGATATTGTGCGAGTGTTGTAAAAACGAGACAGGAGGAAAGAATTTGAACAGATGTTGTGCCACGTTCCCAGGAAAAGTTATAAATCGTTGAAACTGAGAAGGCACACAACACGAGGAACGTGAGAGGTGTGCCAGATTGGTACGTGTACCATCAGGCTTAGCAGGGTATTAAGAACCTGCAGGATAGAAAATACTGTTTGGGGAAACTCGGTAATAACAAAGCCAAACAGCTATTTACCCGGAGACTACAAGGAAACTCTCGGGAGTGCGAGTCATTTCAATGGACAGTAACAGAAACGCTGCTCGCCTCTTCAAAGCCATCCGAGGAATCTTTTTTCCTCTTAGTCGATTAGTCACAGCCGTTACGAGGTGTGACTGGTTTGACAAACAAAAAATTCGCGACGCGTACGTACAGCGTTTTATTTTTATTTCTGTCAGGGTGGTTCGCTCCAAGACAACGAAACAGAATGGAAGGAACATTTCTCTTGATATTCCCAACCGTGGATCTAATCAATTAATCCACCGAAAGCTGCCCTCCCCGAACTTCTCGAGACTTTCGGGGGATCGAGATCGTGTTAACAATACAAATTCTCCCGAAGCTATTAATATTTGGTTCGATCGTTACGGCCCAAATAATTGTTTCGACTGTTCAAACATGCACAAGCTTAGTGAAATAATCATTTTACTTCTATCTTGGAGAAATACTTGAAATATTTTGTTCGAGTTTTCACGAACACGTTCCTCGTGGTTTGAAGCCAATATTTTCCAGAGTGTTTTAATCTTCCTAAATGACTTCGACGGGAGTACGATCGTGTTTGATGGTGAACGCGCGCGGAGGGGTTTGTAAAGCAGTGTTCTAACGTGAGTTTGGACAAAGAAGAGCCCACCCTGCGTCCTACAGCGAGAGTTTCGATAGCGCTATCCGTCCACTCCCGTACATTTACGACATTCCACGCGCGACAGGTCGCAGCATTAGCGTTATTAACCGCCACGCCCCGATCCTGACGTGTTTGAACGTCGAGAGGCCCCGTTCCATCGGCTTTCTTCGGTCGAAGTAAGTTTCGAAGGGAAGGCAAGGTCGTCCTGGCAAGTTCGGGCAGCGCTCAGGGAGCGGCCAGCCCGAGACCGAGCAGTGCAGGTCGCCAAACGTTTCGCGTGTCAATATTTGACGGAGCGTTTAGGATGTCTGGCGTCTGGACGCGTCGGACGCCCCGAAAGGACGAAGGTCCTTGCACCTTTCTGCTCTCACGACGGGGCCAGGTCGTTCGCGATCCCAACCACGCTCGCAATCTCTCGAACGACGATAAAATATTATCGAAATAGTTTGGACGAGAGATCCTGTCGGGAAAATATTTCCAGAACGCACGTGGCGCGGGGCTCGTAGGTTTCAAGGTTGTCGATCACCGTGCCCGGACTGTAATTTGTAACGCAGAAATCTAGTAGGTTGATATGTGGGTTCGTCCGTTGATCGATGGCGGAATTTACCTTGCTAAATGGCTTCGAGTAGGCTGTTGCCTCGCGGAATAATGACTCTGGATACGCGTTTCGATCGCTGCGAATTTTTTATTCGACGGTGTCTCTCGAACAGTCTCGTAAACACGTTGCGATAGCGCG